TGTCAGTGGATATCCATGGCTGAGTGGGTGTGCAGAGTGGGTGTGTCGAGTGGGTTTTATAGTTGTGACAGACCAGTCTCTCAGACTTATTGCCATTCTTGTCACGGGTTTGGACCGACAGTCTGCTAGGATTGCAGGGTTCGTGCGAGTAAAGTCGATCACTTGTCTCAGGGGTATCCCTAACTCTGGGCAACATGGTGAGTCCTCATCCATCAGTCAAATACATCATGGGCAGACTGTCGGCGTTCAACCTCCTGATGAGTCGGTGAAAGTCGGACAAAACCGTCTGATGCAGTCATGCTTTTTTTTGTGGATTTGTACATAGCGAATATGACAACACACACACACACACACACACAGAGTTGATAATCCACTTTTCTTAAACACCAAGCAGTCTGTGTTCAATTTTCCTCATGGCTGTGCCAGCAACCGGCCGGTTGGACCGGGCCGGATCCAACCGGAATTCCGGTTGGGCCCAAAAGTGGGTCAATTTTTTTTATTTTATTTTTTGAAAACATGGTTGGACTGCGCTCGCTGAGATCTCCCCGAATCCGCAAAGAAAACTTTGAACAGAGAAGTTTCATTTGGGGGGTTGGGGGGTATTTCAGGCGTTGAGGGTCAGGGGTTGGAGGGTTTATCGCTGTCTCTTATACACATCTAGATGTGTATAAGAGACAGGCATTAACGTGGGGAAGGGTAGGGAATGTGGCCTATCCTGTCAGCACAACCACCAACTGCTGCTGCCAGCAATCACCAGGGATCTAGTCCTTGGCCTCTACAACACCCTGGGCCTTAAAAATAATAATAATAATAATAAAAAATGATGATCTACGGCCAACCGGGGGGGAACCGGCCCGGTCGACCGGCCGGTAGGACCGGTCCGGTTCCGGTTGGGGGAGGGGCCCCCGGTCCTACCGGGTTTGCGGCCTTGATTTTCCTAGAATTGATCGATTGCCGGACTACTTTGCCGTGATTTCCACAACTACGTGGGTCTGGCAATATTGCAATGAGCCTCCTGGTTCAACACCAGTGAGCGCACATATTCACACCACATCGATGTATGAGTTCACACGAAATTCACACTGGAGACCAGAGAGATGAAGACCAGGTAGCGCAGCTTATCATTTCCAGAAAGTATTACAAGAGCAATA